AGAGGACGTGCTGCTACGAATCTCTCACCTCGCACTCACCTGCACGGTGGCTCGCACGGCAAGCCGGCCAACCATGGGAGATGTTGCCAATGAGCTGCAGGCGGTTAGGAATGAAGTGGAGGGGAAGGAGGAGGTGCGCGCAGCGGTGAAGGTGTATGAGGAAGATGAGGAGAGGAGCAGTGTGATTAAGAAACAGCCAAGCCTAACGGAAGAATTGAAGCTCATTGGCTTACGCGCGTGATCAAGTTGTTACAGCGTTACAAGGCGTACAATTAGCCGCTGCTCAAAATATGTTGATTACCATGTTCTCCTGGATGTATCTGTTAGCAAGTGATAGAATGACTTGGCAAGGCATACAGGGGGCCTGGTGACTATGATATCTGAACCAAATATAATTTAAAAAATAAAAATAAATAATCAAATCAGCGTAAAGAGTCTGATATCTGAGGGCCTAGTGACTCTGGTAGTGTTTTGTGAAGCTACGGTAGAAGGCAGCGCGGTGACCGTGCCATACCATGCATGCGAGGCTTGGAAGGTTCACAAACGCAAACCTCCAATGCTTCAGCAGTTTAGGCAGTGCACTCATACAAACCTTAGATGGGGTGTCACTCATACGGCTCACATCACATGTGACGAAGGCACTGATGCGCAACAAAAAGAACGTCATGGGGGAATCGCACGCTGTCGCTAGGTGTGTGTTGGAGCCAGTGAGCAAACATGGAAGCACAGCAACACCGTGGACCAAAGATTTGTATACAGGGAGTGATTGACGTGAGGGCACGTCAAATGAATTTCACAACCAGTGCAGCGCAGCATAGACACCAAATAGAAACTCGTGGAAGTCCAGGAGTTGAGGAGGAATTAGCAGCTACTTGTCCACCGTAATGTCATAACTGGTTAATCACACAACATCGCTAATGCTGTCAATTGCTTCATCCAGGCTTTGGTGTATCCTGTGTGCACTCATCCTCTCCTCATTCTCCACATCCACTTTAACCGCACCACGCACCTCCTCCTTCCCCCACACTTCGTTCCTGACTGCCTGCAGCTCATTGGCAACATCTCCCATGGTCGGCCGGTTTGCCGTGCGATCCACCGTGCAGCTCACTGCGAGCTGAGTGAGGCGCAGCAGCACCTCCTTTGGGGCGTCCATGCCGGAACTCTTCAGGCCCGCCAGATCCCCCTTTGACAGACACTCGTCCACCTAGAAGGGTACAGAACAGACGGTTGGAAAGGGCAGTTGGGAGTGAGTGAGAGAACACAAAGGCACATGTGCGAATGAGGGGTGCGACGAGTGGTTGATCAAGCCTTGAAAATGAGAGCAGAAAACCGGTGGTGGCGACGGCAGCGGCGGCGACGGCGGTGGTGGTGCTTACCCAAGGTAGGACGTGCATGCTCCCCTTGGAAGTCTCAGCATTGTGAGTACGACCAGTGAGAACCACAAGGATAAGCACTCTAAAGCTGTGGATAGGGAGACAAGGAGAGGGAGAGATGTTACTGCCATGCCGATGGCATGGTGAGGCATCACAACAGCCAAGACTTGAATTCGTTTCAAGACGTTTAGCATACCATCCTTGCAAAAAGAGGGAATTCTACACTTTGAATGAACCACCTCAATCTTACGGCAACCATGCTTCCTCCTTTTCCCTCTATAGCGCGAAACGTGAGCTCGACGTGCAAATGCATGGACAGAACATGCGAGCCCCATGGATTGAAAAAAAAGAACACGAAGAAACTATTTGACTATATTTTTTTGTGAACTTACGAAAAGCCTCTCCTCTCAAGTACCTGTAAACATCAGTGGTTTAGGTTGCCTTGCTTGTCCTGGAGTAGACAGGGTCCACATAGCCCGGTGTGCCCATCACTCGAGTAGAACCCACTGTCGTTCCCTCCCCCACCCTCACCAATCCAAAATCCGCAATCTTGGCCTGGTGAGTAGAGAGTTTAACAAGTTGAAATAGGTAGAAAAAGTCAGATTGGATGGGGCCATACAAGTTACAACATTCTGCAGAGCACATACATAAGGGAGTTGATTGCGCATCTAAGCCGTCAAGAAGCAAGGTACTATCCACATGCATGTGCATTTCATTCACTATAGTTGGACATTTTAGAAGGCGATTGATCACAATTCTCATTATCAGAGTGTTTGGAATGAACTGTTAAGTTTCATACGGTAGGGACCTGAACAGCTGACAGTTGTTTGTTTTGATTTGACTAAGAATTCAATATTAACTACATTCAAGAACTTATTTGTTTGTTGTGGCGAGCTTACCTGCATGTCAGCACCGATGAGGATGTTGGCGGGTTTGATGTCGCGATGCACGAAGCCAAAGCTGTGGAGATACTCCAAGCCGCGCGCTGCCCCGATCAGGATGCCCAGTCGCTGCGGCAGGGTCAGTGAGAATGGTGCCTCTGCAGGGGGGAGGCAGCATTGGGGAGAGAGCATTGGGGGGACAGCATTCGGGACACAACATTTCTAAATCTATATTGTGGAAGACAGCATTGGGGACACAACATATCTAAGACTATGTCTTGCTGAAGACTAAGTTGTTGAGTGTAGGGTACGGTTGTAACAAGAGTCGCAAAACCAATCTCTTGATCCCCAACGGATAAGCACGAAGGCATTGAGCGCAGAAATACATACTTGTTGGGTCCAGCCACGTTGCAAGGTCGCCGTTACGCACAAACTCGTAGATGAGAACCTGCTCTGGCCGCGTCCTAATTGAGTTTCGACCATAAGCGCCATGCTCTAGATATAAGCGCCTGCGCCTTCAAAACCCAAATGCAAAATAGTGAACCCAACGCCAACTTGAAAGAGGGCTTGCCGTGCGAAACAATTTTGGAACCAAACCGACAAGTTTCCAGTGTTTCATTGAGAGTGTTTTTTGCAGATCGAACACATCTGATTGGTTCCCGCCAAAACCAATAGAAGGAACACAGCACGTCAGGCGTCACATATCAGTTTTGGAAGCTGCACAACACTAGCATTACGATGGTGCTTACCGTATATCCGGGGCCATACGGTATATATTTCGAAAGCCACCTCGTCATCCCTGAAAGGCACATTATGGAGGTTTCATTCCTCTATAACAAAGATCACTACTTTGTAACAAGGATCCTTCACATGGCGAGGAGTGGACGGAGCTCTGCGCTCTTTGTTCGTGAAGGTTGTGTTTTAGGAAGCTACATTAGAAGGCAGCTTGGTGACCGTGCCATGCCATGCATGTGAGCCTTGGAAGGTTCACAAACGCAAACTTCCCATGCTTCAGCAGTTTAGGCGGTGCACTCATACAGCCCTTAGATGGGGTGGGGTGTCACTCATACGGCTCCCAAGTGGCGAAGGCACTGATGTGTAACAAAAGATTGTCATGGGGGAATTGCACCTGCCACTAGGTGTGTGTTGGAGCCAGCGAGCAATCATGGAAGAACAACAACTACGTGCACCAAAGAACAGAGCATGGTTGACGTAAGGGCGGGTTGAACTGCCAGCAATTATGGCAGATCCAGAGATTTCCATTCCAAACCCAGGGCCGTACATTTCTAGCTTGGTGACAAGCAGCCCGCGAAAACATTCAGTACTGCATTTTTTTAGAAACATACGGTCATGCAAATTGAGAATATCGTAACAAACATGCATGCTCAGCCAGTAATGTACTAAGACATTCACTACTTTTGGTTTAGTAATGTACCAAGTGTGATTTGCAAATGAAGTGTCATGCCATGTCGCTAGCCAAGGCAGTCGAGATTGCCAGTCAGCAACACCTTATTGATAAAATGTTGTCATCATGGATAAGGTCTATTTCTTCATCCAGGGTTTTGAGTGCCGTATACGCACTCTTCCTTTCTTCATACGGCTCACAAGTGGCGAAGGCACTGATGTGTAACAAAAGATTGTCATGGGGGAATTGAACCTGCCACTAGGTGTGTGTTGGAGCCAGCGAGCAATCATGGAAGAACAGCAACTACGTGCACCAAAGAACAGAGCATGGTTGACGTACCGTATTACCCTGGATAAAAGCGCACCTGCGCTTATAATAAAACAGTGTTTTTTGGGGGGGGGTGCGCTTATAATTGAGTCAAATTTATAAGCGCATGCGCTTATATAATGGCAAATGCATAATTATGATTTAAAGCACCAAATTGTGCATCCCAGTACAGTTGCATTTTTAATCAAATCGAAATGGGCATCAGAATCGCGCGAGGGCGATTTTCTGCCGGCGCACAGGGGCAAGGACACGTCAAGCTTGCCCCGGCCCAGTGTATGAGCCAATCACAGTCGCTCGCTCAGTGCACAGCACCCACGGCTGTGCTGTCAGTCAGCTTCGCCCCAGGCCAGCATATGAGCCACTCGCGTGCAGTCGCTCGCTCGCAGCGCACAGGCACGGTCCCTTTTTCCACCCACCCTCCCCCCCCCCCTTCGCCCCGAAAGGGCTGTCAGTCAACGGCTTCGCAAGGTTCCGCCTTTCGTGATCGAATCGCCCGTGCTCAAGAGAGTCAACAAGTACGGTAGAAATGGATGTGGGTGGACTCGCTGCAAAATAGGGAATCGTTACCGTTTTAATCATGATTTAAAATAAAAATTGTACATACGCTTAAAATAAATCAAGGTTTTACAGGGGGTGCGCTTATAATTGAGGATCGGCCATAAGCGCATTGCTCCAGATACAAGCGCATGCGCCTTTAATAGGCCTGCGCTTCTATCCGGGGCCATACGGTAAGGGCGGGTTGAACTGCCAGCAATTATGGCAGATCCAGAGATTTCCATTCCAAACCCAGGGCCGTACATTTCTAGCTTGGTGATAAGCAGCCCGCGAAAACATACGGTACTGCATTTTTTTAGAAACATACGGTCATGCAAATTGAGAATATCGTAACAAACATGCATACTCAGCTAGTAATGTACTAAGACATTCACTACTTTTGGTTTAGTAATGTACCAAGTGTGATTTGCAGATGAAGTGTCATGCCATGTCGCTAGCCAAGGCAGTCGAGATTGCCAGTCAGCAACACCTTATCGATAAAATGTTGTCATCATGGATAAGGTCTATTTCTTCATCCAGGGTTTTGAGTGCCGTATACGCACTCTTCCTTTCTTCATTCTCCTCATCCACTTTCACCGCCGCACTCACCTCCTCCTTCCCCCCCACTTCGTTCTTAATCACCAGCAACTCATTTGCAACGTCCCCCATGGTTGGACGGCTTGCAGTGCGATCCACCGTGCAGGTGAGTGCGAGCTGGGTCAGGCGCAGCAGCACCTCCTCTGAGACTTCCACAGTGGGGTTCTTCAGGCAAGCCAGGTTGGAGCCCTTCAGGCACTCTTCCACCTGGAAGTGCAGCAGGTTGGAACGGGACCGGGAGGCGAGCGGTTGGGAGAGAAAAACACGAGGCAAATCAGATGCACAAGTGAGGGGGTTGGTAAGTAACCAATCCTCAAGTAAGGCAGGAACATCTGATGTTATTGAAATGCTAAGCTAGAAGCTCAAGTTAAATAATCTAGGTAGATGTTCAAACTTGGTAACTATTCAAGGTAGGAAGCAGAGGCCGGTGCAGCATGCGAATGAACCTTGGCACTTGGTGCAGGGTTCCTTTTGAGTCGACTCAAAAGTCACATTGACTGGACCTTGGCACGAGGTGTGGGGTTGCTGTTGTTGTGGTGGTGGTGGTGGTGGTGGTGGTGGTGGTGGTGGTGGTGGTGGTGGTGGTGGTGGTGGTGGTGGTGGTGGTGGTGGTGGTGGTGGTGGTGGTGGTGGTGGTGGTGGTGGTGGTGGTGGTGGTGGTGGTGGCGGCCGCGGCCGCGGCGGCGGTGGCGGCGGCGGCGGCGGCTGTGGTGGTGGCGGTGGTGCTTACCCAATGTAGGATGTGCATCCTCTCCCTTCCAGGCTCAGCTATTGAAGAACGTCCCGTAAGCACCACGAGGATGAGCACTCCAAAGCTGAAGAGCATGGAGAGAGAGAGGGAGAGAGAGAGAGAGAGAGAGAGAGAGAGAGAGAGAGAGAGAGAGAGAGAGAGAGAGAGAGAGAGAGAGAGAGAGAGAGAGATGTTGAGGCTACGATGCGAGGCTTGGTGTTGAGATGGTCATCATGCCATGGTTGAGACAAGGGGACAACATGACCGTAACGGATACACCAACCACCTTGATCTTATATGTATTCATTACAATCATAACATGAAAATGCTAACATGCAAATGCTTGGACTGAAGGGGCTAACAGCATTCCAAAACAAACTATCAGCACGAAATAACAAGCTGACCTATGCCAACTTACAAAAATCATCTAATTCTCCCGCAAGTACCTGTAAACATCAGTGGCCGTGGTTGCCTTATTTGTCCTCGTGTAAACAGGGTCCACATAGCCAGGTGTGCCCATCACTCGGGTAGAACCCACTGTCGTGCCCTCTCCCACCCTCACCAATCCAAAATCCGCAATCTTCGCCTGGGTAAGAGGAGTTCGTTACAACAAGGTTGAAAGATGATGAAGGTGTAACAAGTTGTTGAATTGGGTGGGAGTTGATTGATTGCGCACACAAATCACAGGATGACTCTACCCGAATTTCATGAAAAAAAATCAACATACCAAAGTGTTTAAAAATACTTGTGGTACCATAGGACAGGGACCTGAGCAGCTGACAGTTGCCTGTTTGCATTGACTAAAAGACGACTCAATAACCGCCGGTGAAAAGCTGTTCGGAGCTTGCATGGATGTCTGTACGCTGTAATGGATGTGGACCATTTGATGTGGACAGGTTTAATGCTCGGAGCTTGCCTGCATGTCGGCGCTGATGAGGATGTTGGCGGGTTTGATGTCGCGATGCACGAAGCCAAAGCTGTGGAGATACTCCAAGCCACGCGCCGCCCCAATGAGGATGCCCAGCCATTGTGGCAGAGTCAGTGAGAATGGTGACTCTGCAGGAGGAAGGGAGCAATAGGCAGGTAGGAGTGAGCATTAGTCACGTGGCATTAGGCACATGGCATTACACACACGGTTATGGAATGTGCAACACACGCACGAGGGGCATCAAAAGTAGACTCACTTGTTGGGTCCAGCCACGTTGCAAGGTCGCCGTTAGGCACAAACTCGTAGATGAGCACCTGCTCTGGCCGCGTCCTCATGTCCCCCCCCACAGCAAACCCAAGCAGCCGCACGATGTTGGGATGGTTCTTGTCGGCCATTTGCTGGATCTGCGGGGCGTTGAGAAGAGCATACACAACAATGGGCATCTAAAGCGTATAACAAGGTCCCGCACAGCTCAACACTGGAAAGCTAAACCGGTAACAGGTATGCACTGCAGCATCGAGCAAACGTTGATGGGGGTTCGAGAAGCAGAAATCCTGATGGAGATGGATGGAACGTGACATGACGGGTTTCCATACAACACATATGATGTAACACACATGACGGGCACGATGAAGCCGCTTCTTCGATGTAACACACATGCACCCACCTCCCGTTGGAAGACAACATCTATCAGCATGGCGCGCTTCACAGACAGCCCACTCAACAGCGCCATCACGTCACACGCATGCATATTTGAGACGTCTCAAAACACTTCTTCAAACACGTCGCTTCACAGACAGCCCACTCAACAGCGCCATCACGTCACACGCATGCATATTTGAGACGTCTCAAAACACTTCTTCAAACACGTCGCTTCACAGACAGCCCACTCAACAGCGCCATCACGTCACACGCATGCATATTTGAGACGTCTAAAAACACTTCTTCAAACACGTCGCTTCACAGACAGCCCACTCAACAGCGCCATCACGTCACACGCATGCATATTTGAGACGTCTAAAAACACTTCTTCAAACACGTCGCTTCACAGACAGCCCACTCAACAGCGCCATCACGTCACACGCATGCATATTTGAGACGTCTAAAAACACTTCTTCAAACACGTCGCTTCACAGACAGCCCACTCAACAGCGCCATCACGTCACGCATGCATATTTGAGACGTCTCAAAACACTTCTTCAAACACGTCGCTTCACAGACAGCCCACTCAACAGCGCCATCACGTCACACGCATGCATATTTGAGACGTCTCAAAACACTTCTTCAAACACGTCGCTTCACAGACAGCCCACTCAACAGCGCCATCACGTCACACGCATGCATATTTGAGACGTCTAAAAACACTTCTTCAAACACGTCGCTTCACAGACAGCCCACTCAACAGCGCCATCACGTCACACGCATGCATATTTGAGACGTCTCAAAACACTTCTTCAAACACGTCGCTTCACAGACAGCCCACTCAACAGCGCCATCACGTCACACGCATGCATATTTGAGACGTCTAAAAACACTTCTTCAAACACGTCGCTTCACAGACAGCCCACTCAACAGCGCCATCACGTCACACGCATGCATATTTGAGACGTCTAAAAACACTTCAAACATGTCGCTTCACAGACAGCCCACTCAACAGCGCCATCACGTCACACGCATGCATATTTGAGACGTCTAAAAACACTTCTTCAAACACGTCGCTTCACAGACAGCCCACTCAACAGCGCCATCACGTCACGCGCATGCATATATTTAAAGTATATGTGGGCACATGCACCATACCCCACGTCTTTTGAGTCGACTCAGAAGGACACATGCACCATAACCCACACAAGTCACCCACCTCCCGCTGGAAGTCCACGTCGATCAGCTTGGCGCGCTTCACAGCCCACTCTGTGACACCATCGCGTGGCGACACCCCCTTGTACACGTCACCAAAGGCCCCCGAGCCTAGCTGGTTGTCCGCAGACCAGTTGCTGGTGGCTGCTTCAACCTCAGAGAGAGAAAACTCGGTGCTGGTTAAGGCTGCTTGTGGGGTGGGGGGTAGGGTGAGGGGTGGGGGTGCAGGGTGAGGGTGAGGGTGAGAGGGGGGGAGGGGTGAGGTGACGGGTGAGGTTTGAGGTGTGAGGGGTAAAGCGCGCGCGCGCGCGCACGCACGCACGCACGCATGCACGCACGCACGCACGCACGCACGCACGCACGCACGCACGCACACACACACACACACACACACACACACACACACACACACACACACACGCCCATGCACACACACATGCACGCACACACACCCACGCCCATGCCCACAAACCCAAGCCCACACGCACGCATGCGTACACACACAAGAAAGAAAACACCATTGAATGCATTCATTCGTTTTTCTGGTTTTGTAGTAACTTTTGTGCTTATACTGGTTCTTGTGCGCACGAGATGTGAATCTCAACCTCAAATGCGATAGCTCACAATCTCCAATATCCATCAGTTAGAGATATTGGCAGATTCCACTGACAAACCTTCTTTAATTTCTTTGTTGGACCCAATCAGCCATGTACTTGCTGCTGTTCTCCTTCACCAAAGCTTTCTTTCTCCTTCACCAATCCATTCAGCCCGACGTCTTACCAATCAATTCTTCCCACCTGTTGTCTTCTGCCGCTGCTTGTGCCTGAGGCAGAGCAGCACAGCAGCCAGCAGCAGCAGCACCACCACCACCACGGAAGCAACAACAATGCCAATGATGGCCCCCAGCGGTAAGCCGCTGCTATCGCTGGGGTTCGCTGCAGGTGGTGCCGGAGGGTGGGGTTGGGCGAACAATTCCAGGCAGTCAGCTCAGAAGAACAAGCAGCTCAGAAGCTCATAAACGTCAGATGCAGGCTTTAGGTAAGAGAAACAAGCAGCAGAAACGTCAGAAACAAGCTCAGAAACGTCAGAAGAGGTCAGGTCAATCGGGCAAGGCTTGGGCTGACAGTTGCAATGCAGTTGAGAAATTTCATGAGCGACTTCAGAATGACATAGGAGGCGCCTCAAGATTAAAAACAAAGCGAGCCAAAGAGCATGTGAGGCTACTGAGCTTGACACGATTGCTTGAGCTAGGCAACTGAAGATCAACGGTGCGAAAGTGGAGAGGAAGTTCACTAAAGGTTTATCTCCTTGATCGTTTTGCGCCCTCTTTGAGTTGCTCTGGTTAGTATAGGGGGGGGGGGGGCTTGTATGCGGCAAACCATAAAGTGGGAATTATTTTCTGTTGTGTCTTCCGTTCTTTCTTTCTTCGTGTAGTTAGTAGTGCTGCACTCACCTGTTGACTTGAGGCATGTTTCGCAAAAGAAAGGGCACTTGCGGCAAAAGGCAGTCCAAGGGTTTTGCGTCTGACCACAGCTGGTGTAGTTGTCCGGACATGTGAGGTTGGTGTCCTTGGTGGTGCTGGTATGGAAAGAGGGGTGGCGAGCTGTGGCTCTCGATTGTTTTGAGGTGCTGGATGGGCAAAGTTCAGACATTTTTCAGTGAGCTGCACGCGATGAGTAGGCTTAAGCGAAGGAACAACAGCGTGACGAGACAATTTTAGAAAATTGGTTGTAACCTGAGGTGGCGAGCCGTGGCTCTCAATTGTTTTGAGGTGCTGGCTGCCATGCATCGTTTGATGCCGTGGCCCATCCGCACATCGATCTCATGCATGGATTTTGAGGAGCCTCGGATTCGGCATCGACCCCAGGCACGGTTGAACATTCGAAGCCAACCAAGCGTACAATGTGGATGTGGATGCTCAAAAGAGACAAGGGTTACAACGGAATGGATGGTGGGAGGGTCCCCGAGGGATGGGGAAACAGACACGGTCATGGTATAAAAGCTTACAAGTTCTTCAAGTAGAGAAGACCTCCAAGGGATGGTGGGATAGTCCCTGAGACATTGGTGTGATCCAGATGCCTGCTTTCACATGGGCGAGCAGAGCACAGCACAAGGTGGAGTGGAGGGGAGCAACGCGAGACGCGATGGAAGGAGTCAAGTCAGAACTCAGTGAAAAGTGGGGCGATGCATGCATTCCCTCTTACATGCTTACAACAAAAGGAAATGGGCAACATCGAACATGCTAACAAAAAATCTTCTTTGAATCGCTTAGTAGGGAGTATTTATGACATCATAGCCATAAAGAACACCCCCCAATATGAAGGACCATATCATCATGTGTTAGGAGGCTTACCTTATGACATGAGAAAAAAACCCACCTGCAGTTTGGTTCGGTTGTTGAACTTTCGTCAAAAGCGATATTCTCAAAAAAAAAAAAAAAAAAAAAAAAAAAATCCAACCTTCAAAGGTTCAAGCTGGACCAAACTTTTTAAGTCAGCTCGACCAGTATGTCCGAGTTGCATCGGACAAACAGGTTCTGTGTGGAACTATATTCCAGAAAAACTGGGAGGGGATAGGGGGGCGGAAGGGGAGGGAGGGTTTCGACTCAGAAACCCTCGGCACGCCGAGATCGGAGGGAGGGAGGGCGTTTGCCAGATCGGCACAAAATGAAGCTCACTTCCAAGCTCCAACTCTCAAGTTAGATTTCCTAATCTCCTCAATACCTAGTCTCTTGCCTACAAACCTGCCTTTCAATCAAATCGAATACCCGAATTCAGCAGCAGACAGTGTTTCATTAAGCACACCTATAGTAAGAAAATCGGCAAGTTCAGGGTTTAGATCCCGACGTTACGTTAGGGCAAAAGGTGGAAGTTTGAAGGGTTTTGGAGGTTTATTGCACTAGTCACTTGAGAAACGAGTCGGCCCGTCCTGACCCGACCCGTTTTGCTCGAACCAAGGTGGGTAACGGTTAGGTACGGTTCGGAACGGATCGGATATGGTTCGGTATGGATGAGAAATATGGATCGGTGGGGTGCGGGCTGGTAGGCTTTGTGAAATAGCAATTTGAATCTCAACTTTACCGCATGAAATCAAAGCAGCGCCAACATTTTTCATCTCCTTTTGTGAAGAATAGAGGACAGATAGCGCCAACAGAGGTTCATCTCTCTGTGTGAAGAACCACTGGGTGTCATCTCTAGTGTCATCTCTCGTGACACCTTCTACGATCCACAAGTACATTAGGAGGTACGCACACCCCGCACGCCACACATCACATCACTGGATAAAGGTGTTGTTTTGAGACGTCTCAAAACAACACCTTTATCACGTCGCACACCCTGCACTATCACATCACTGGTATTCTCTGACGAGACATCACATCACTACACACGCCCTGCGTGCTACTCACAGGGACTTGCGTTCGCGGAGATCCCCTAAGCTAGCAAAGATGCTGCCGCGGACACATCACCCACTAGGAGCCACGCACACCTGCAAGCCACACATCACGTCACTGGCATTCTCAGACAGTGCGCTGTTGCTCACAGGGACTTGAGTTCGCGGAGATCCCCTAAGCTAGCAGGGATGCTGCCTGAGAGCTGGTTGTAAGAGAGGTCTCTGTGAGGAAGCACCAGCACAGACAGCAACAGAGGGCATAATGTAATTGATAGAGCAACAGGCATAGCATTACAGTGGCATGAAAGTTGATTTTTACCAGAGTAATATTTTGAGAAGAGACGAGCAGGCGAGGAGGGAAAGGATGAGCCTTGAAAACAGTGAACGATGTGAAGACCAGTGAGGTCAAGGGGAGGGTAAAGGCACAAAGAGAAGAGGAGAGGAGAGGAGAGGAAAGGAGTGGAGAGTAGAGTAGAGGAGAGAGGAAAGGAAACGAGAAGAGAGTAAGAGCGAAGCAGATGGAGCAGCCAAAACAAAGAGAAGCACAAATAAGACATAGAGAAGAGTGGGGAGGGCTTACAAGGTGGAAGATACGGGATGGGCATACAAGGGGATGGCAGAAAAAGGGAGGACTTACAATGACTCCAGATTTGTCAATGAGCCAAGCTCAGATGGGATGGAGCCGTTGAGACGATTAACGAACAAAGATCTGTGGTGGTTGTGAAAGGGAGTATAAGTTGAAAAGGGTTGCTGAAAACCCTCTCAAACGAGATCGGGAAAGCTAAGGTCCAGGCCAGGACCCTAGCTACTTGGACAATAGTAAACAGCAACGCCAACAGAGGTTCACCTCCTTGTGTGAAAAATCGTGTGTGACACACGATTCTACAATCCACGCACACACTAGGAGCTACACACACGCCGGGAGCCACACATTACATCGCTGGCATTCTCTGATGGCATGCGTGCTGCTTACATGGACCTTTAAGGCGCCTCAAAAGCTACGCAAACCCTGCAAGCAACACATGCCATCACTGGCATTCTGCTCACAGCGACTTTAGTTCGCGATGCCCCCATGAGCTACGCACACTCCCCAAGCCACACATTGCTAGCATTCTGTGTCGGTGTGTGTGTGCAGCTGCTCACATGAACGTTAGCTGGCGGAGCTCACTGAAGCTGGCAGGGATGCTGCCTGAAAGCTGGTTGTAAGAGAAGTCTCTGTGAGGAAGCACCATGCACACAGACAGCAACAGAACCCGTGGATCTTAGAATAAGGAAATTGAGAAGCTACGAATAGGCGAGAAGTGAAAGGATAAACAGTATGATTCAAAGAGTAGGAACAGAAGACATGATAATGTATGATGGTAATGCCATTGACCAATTTACATGGTGACACCAGTAGCACGTTACAACAAGCAATAGGTGAATAAAAGGATGGACAGTTGAGATACAGTAGAGCACATATTCGATCAAACCTGGTATCAAGTAGAATTTGAGTCGACTCATAACACACTTGGGTGTCAACTACATGTTCGAACCTGGTATCAAGTCGAAAGAGACTCATGACGTGCCTATTGGCTTCGACCGTATAGGAGTCGTGAGACGACCTGAGCCTCCTAGTTACAATTGAGTCGGATCAAGTTGTATGACCCTCAAGTCAGACATGACTAGCGCAGCTGAGGGGGTATTGGCCGTTGCAGCGGCCCGATAACCCCAGAGGAGATAGAGGAGATGAGAGGTAAGGAGCGGAAGTGAGGGAGAGGTATGGAGCAGGTGAAAGAGAATGGTCAGAGGAGGTAAGAGGAGGCAAGGGGAGGGGGTGGAGGAGGGGAGGGGGTGGGTTGGAAGAATGCACAGAAGAAAAGGAGTAGGAGAGGAGAGAAGAAAAGGGTGACGTTTACTTACAATCTAATAAGTTTTTTCATGGAGCCAATTTGGAAGGGGATGGACCCATCAAGGAAGTTAAGCTCGAGGTCACTGAGAAGGGCGATAAGAAGAGAACATTAAGAAGATGATGGGATGGGGTCCTCAGTTATATCCACGAGGGTGTGTTTTGAGTCGTCAAAAAAAGACACCAAGGGAGACGTATCAACACGTGGGTAGACGTTTCACCACGTGGGTAGACGTATCACCATATAAATAACAGATTCAGTTGGGGCAAGAATCACCAGGCGGATATGGTGAGGCAGGACAGGAGTCTACTTTTGAGGTGCCTCAAAAGAAGCACCAGGTGGATATGGCGAGGCAGGAAAGGCAGGGGAGCTCTATTGCACTGGTACGCACTGCCTGTTTGGCTGGCTGATATGCGTGTGGTGGTACTGCTACATACCTTCCTACTCTACTGTTTTGACGCTTGTGGGCCACTCACAAGTGAACACAACACGGGAAAGGAAGAAGCTGACATGGGGGGAATTGATATGATATATATGATAGTTATGAATGTGTATATGAGGTCGCAAGCATGAATGCAATTGTAGGTTGAATGCACCCCACATGTAAATAGATGCATGTCACATGGACCGATGCGTGCATATCACGTCACATGGATGAATACACATATCACGACACATGGATGGATACGCATATCACGTCACATGGATGAATATGCATATCACGTCACGTGGAATGGATACGCATATCACGTCACATGGATGGATACGCATATCACGTCACATGGATGGATACGCATATCATGTCACATGGATGGACACGCATATCACGTCACATGGATGGATACTCATCGCCTCAAAACTCTGCGTGTGCTGCTCACATGTAGAGCATTTGATTGAGATCACCGACGCCTGCCGGGATGCTGCCTGAAAGTACACTCAAGGAGAGATCTCTGAAAGGTGGCATGCATGCACACCAACAGAATGTCACAGCAGAAAGAGCGTGTGGTGGGAAACAGACGATGAGGTGAGAAAAGTGGGTGAGGTGGGAAAAAGATGATGAGGTGAGAAAAGGTGGGAAACGACAGCAAGGTGGACGGGTGAGGTAGATGGGGTTGATTGATGGAGCAGAAACAAGTGACTGGGACAACCGTGGCTTCGGGTAGGGCTGGGTTTGGTGGACTGTGGAGTGAAGCATGAAACATCCGAGGATTAACAAATAGCAAATGGCAGGTGGCTGGCAGGTGGCAGGTTGCAGATGGCAGATAGCAATTGGGCCGTTGGCTGGAGCAGACATACAGCCAAGTTAAGTTCCTGAGGTTGCTGATTGATTGCGGAATGGGCCCTCGCAGATTTTGGTTCCTCAGAAACCTGCATCCACATACCACATATCAGCATGACCACACATCATATCAGCATGACCACACATCAGCATGACCACACATCACATCAGCATGACCACACATCAGCATGATTACACATTAGCATGACCACATAGTCAAGGATAGTTATGAATACCAGCCACATCAGCTACGAATAAACTGCAGCTGTAGCTTGTTAACGCTGAGCTGGCTCTAATATTTACTCGCGAGTTGTAGATATTCTTCACAAATGTCGGTAAAACTGGAATTTCTTTTTTTACTCTAACCCTATGCTAGCGATCTAAGCTGTCCTTTAATGTTCACACAAGGACGGCCCTATGCTGGCGGCGGTGTTTACGGTTGCCCATGCCAGCAGCATTACCCTGGACTGATAGGCATGAATATTTACACTCTCGACTCAACTCAATCGAACTGTATTGTTTCAGAAATTGACATACAGACTATAGAAAGAGCACCTCAGAGCCCGTTGAACTCAAGATTCGACACAGCCCCCATCGGCCATTTTTGAGTCGACTCAAAACTCAAGATTCGACACAGCCGCAATCGGCCATTCCCGTGCCTCATTAAAATTTGAGTGCATGTTTCCCACTGCTTATCTTGTCATGGAATTCTAGTGTTCAATATAATTACGGTATGCATGTGTTTCAAGAACATGGCTTCTACTACACATCAATAGCAGGACGAGCACTGCGCACCATATCCCAACCACCAAACTCCCAACCACCCATCTCCCAACCATCCATCTCCCGACCACACAACTCCCAGCCACACGGCTCACAGTTTATCAATCATGCCGTGCGCGTCACAACTGATGTCGTATGGAGAAAGCAGGTCGCAGTCAGGTTTGGGGCCGTCCAAGCCGGGGAACTTCACGCTCTTCCATGCCGCCTGAGATTCGTTCAGGAATTGCACTGCGTGTGGGCGAAGTCGCAAGGGAGCAGTTTGCGGGGGTTGGGTTGAGGGAATGGGTGGATTGGATTGCTTCGGGATGAGGGGAAGAGGGAAGGTGGCAGGGCGGGTTGGGGGAGTGCATTCACGTCTGGGAGGGCAACCGCCATCCCTGGTGGGGACCTTCGAGCTCCACGCCGTCTGGGAGTCGCTCGAAAGGTGTCCTGCAGAAAGAGGGGGGCGGGAGCATGGTGCGGGGAGGTGGGGGGGCGACAAAGTTCGTTTGGTTCGGTCGATCCAAACATCACGGTATAGAGTAGTTGTAGGGGAAGTGCAGTGCACTGCGTGTAGCCGTGGCAGCCCTCGAGGAAGAGGACGCAATAATGGCTGGCAACCGTCGTACTGACATGGAACGAACGATGGCGACGCGAAGAACATACTGACATGGAAAAAAAAAACCTGCGAGCATGGACGAGTACTCTCCACCGTCGTACTGCCGTGGAACGCACAACTATAGACCCCGATTGTCTTGTTGTGAGAATGCCGACCGAATTATCCGAGAGCCATGGTGAAGGCTGTGGGTTGCAACGCAACCCATGCCCCGTCACAGGAATGCCGAGCAAGTGGGTTCCCCTCCGGACGCGCAATGAGTCCATAAAAATTGATTCCTCACCCGGCCTCCCCAACAGTCACCCAGCCTGCCCAACAGTCACCCAGCCTGCCCAACAGTCACCCGGCCTGCCCAACAGTCACCCAGCCTGCCCAACAGTCACCCAGCCTGCCCAACAGTCACCCGGCCTGCCCAACAGTCACCCGGCCTGCCCAACAGTCACCCGGCCTGCCCAACAGTCACCCGGCCTGCCCAGCTCACCTTGAGTGGGTTCGAGCGGAACGGCGTTTGTCGTCACAAGCGACGCGAGCAGGCTGGCGGCGAGCCACCCTGCGAGCCATGCGAGGGCCGTCAGTGAGTGCTGCGCCCGCCGCCGCTTCGCCATAGCCACTGTTGTCGCTGCCGCCGCCGCGTTAGCCGCTGCCGACGCAGGGGATGGCGATTGGAAGTTGGAGTGGGAGTGCGAACGCGTCCTCTGTGCGAGATGTTTCTTAGGAATTCCAAACATATCCCGCGAGCGGTTCCCCTTTGGAGCCATCATGGTGCTTGCCGGGTAAATGATGCTGTGAGTAAGTCTGAGATTAAGAGAGGGAGTGGGAGTGAGGGTGAGACTTGGAGAGAGTGAGTGGGAGTGAGGGTGAGACTTGGAGAGAGTGAGTGGGAGTGAGGGTGAGACTTGGAGAGAGTGAGTGGGAGTGAGGGTGAGACAGAGTGCGAATGAGATTAAGAGTAAACGAGAGCGAGTGAGAGTGAGAGAGTGAGTGAGTGCAAGAGAGTGAGTGCAACTGAAAGTGCGAGTGAGTGAGAGTGAGAGACACTGAGACTGAGACTGAGTGAAGAATGAGGCTGAGATAAGACTGAGTGACTGACACTGACACTGGGAATGAGACAGCGACAGACTGAGACTGAGACTGAGATGTAGATTGAGACTGAGCCTAAAAGAGTGAGACTGAGACTGACTGTTGCACGCGCCGGTCCAAGGCTGCTGCGTCGCCTAATCCGGGATTCCGCCTTGTGCCGCGTAACCAGTGGCAGCGGATAGTAGCGCCGCGGGATGATGCAATCTGACTATAGAGACCGCACAAAAGCAACCTCGATAGCGAGGCTATGATGTTAAGGTGTCGGCCGTGACGGTCAGATGCAGCCGTCTTAAACGGAACGGCTTGCCGTTTTAAGCGGAACTAACGGGCGGCGGGTCGCGGGACTGTACACCGCTGGCAACCCTCCGTGGGCTTGAGATGAGACAGTGCGAGGACTACTACTAGAGCTGCTGATAGAACACGCTGTATGTTTGAGAATTGGGTTGAATTTTGGGCTCTCGCACGGCGCGAGACAGTGCGAGAATTACGAATAGACCTGCTGAAACGGAATGCGACTAATTCTATTACTTGAGTTGTTCACTCACAACTGAGATGCAGCGGGAAATAGTACTAGTACTCCTCGTAGTACCAGGGGCTGGACTGGGTTCAGCTCGATTACTGCACGCCGCTCCAATTGGGTTAAATCTGCTCGCCTACTAGTATTAGGGGTCATCAGGGTCGGCACGCCTATTAGTACGGTTCACGAAGCTCGAAGCTTTGAGACGCCGTGGCAATCGAAGCTGAAGGGTCAGCGCGCGCGGCCCCACGACGAGTGGCGTCCCCACGAGTAGGAGTACTCCGTGGGTGCTCAGTCCTACGACAGCAAGGGCCCTCGATGACCTTTGACTTGGCAGGTCGGCGCCTAACGACTGAGTCTACTTGGCACCGACGCACGAGTTCGGTGGCGGTCATTAGTGACTACGGGTGACTGTGAGCTACTGCAGCGAACTCGGCGGAATCGGTGCTAGGAATGACGAGTCTTGGGGGTCGTAGGTGCCTTGCTTGTGAGGCATGCTGCTCACTTGCTGTGTTGGCAGGAGTAGCGTGCACGGTGAGACATTCCGGTGCCGAGTTGGGTTGGAAATGTGCGGGGCGCGTTCACCCACCCACACACCACTTTCGTGGGGTTGGGTTACTCGCAGCGCCCACGCAACCTCTTGTGAAACCCTCGCCTGCCTATATATATGTTTGTGTTTGCTTGTGTGTTATATATATATATATATTCTATATTCCTAGTGAAGTCCAAATGCTACTTCAATTCTCACCAAGTCCTTAGAGGCAAACGCTACCGAAACTCTACCAAGTTGCTGGCGCAACATCATTCCCATAGCAGAATCTCTCTCGTTATCGCTACGCTCTCTAATATATTCCTTCAATTACCGCCGCAACACGCCCAACAGAGGGGCAGTCATGTCCCCCCGAACACACAGTCATGTCCCGCGCACCCATGTCCCCCCGACCCGCAGTCATGCCCCGGCAGTGAGCCCCGAAATCCATGATATTCCGCAGTCATGTCTCTGTCACGATTCACTAACCCCGCAGTCATCTGCTATGTTCTCCCGTGCACCACAATCCCAAGCCGACACTGCGTGCGGGACACGCCTGGCTGCAATCAGGAGGAATGAGTTGACTTGGGTTGGGGCTCTCTTGGCCAGAGGGATTAGGGCGTGCTACATTTTCTAACAGCGGCTAAAATCCTGACACTGTCCGAGAACGGCTCAGATTCCGAATCTCGAGCAGTCCGGGTCCAACGTCCAGACTAAACCTCGTTCAACGTTGTTTATGAAACATTTTCAACCTGACGAAGCTCAGAGTGTTCGCTAGGTTAAAACCATGATCACGACGAGATTGCGACAAAGCTAACACTCAAGCGGCTGAAAGACTCGAATCGTAGACCAATAAAAATGCTTTACTGTTACGTCCGTCCACTTATCCAACTGTAATCGTCCGGTCGAGTTGGAAATGTGAAACAAGTAAGCAGGAATGAAATGACTAAGGAAAGATTGGGTACAAATACAACCCTAGAAACCCTGTACCCCATATGTGCTACCCCACAATAGCCTACAGCAACTATGTCATATAAATCTGACACACCCCCATAGGCAAAGTGGGGGAGAACAAGGGGTCACAAGACCAGTCAAGTCAAGCAAAGCAGAGCAAGCTCAGGGTGGATCACAACGTCACCACACAGTCCGAGCACAAGAGCAGGGCCAGAGGCCAGTTCACATGCAGGAGTACAGACATATATATATAAACCTAGACAAGCAAGAGCATGATATATATGTCACAGTACAAGTAAAGTCAAGAGGAGAGCAAGTGAGACAAGACAGGCACAAGACCCAGCTGGGTGCAGAGGCGCTGATGGTCACAAGGCGCGAGTGCCTTGGTGAACACATCAGCAGTGTTGGCCTCAGAGGCCACGTACGCAAGCCGCAACTGTCCACGCTGCTGCAGCTCACGAGCAAGGAAGTAGCGAAGAGCAATGTGCTTCGTTCTGTGCTCCAGACGCTGCTCTCGACACAGGGCCAGCATGGCCTTGTTGTCTACGTACAGCACTGGAGGAGAACGAGGTGGCTCTCCAAGGTCAGTCAGCAGGTAGGTGAGCCAGCGAAGCTCCTGTGCAGCCATGGCCCCAGCGTAGATCTCAGCCTCACAACTGGAGCTGAGAACCGAAGACGAGCGAGTAGCCCGCTAAGAGACAGAGCCGGAACCAAGACTGAAGGTGTAACCCTGTGACGACCGCTGCGTAGCCTGGTCGTCAGCCCAAGAAGCGTCCGCGTGCCCCGTAAGGACCACTGGACTGCGCCCTCCAAGCACTAGCCCCATGCCCGACGTACTGCACAGGTAGCGCAACACCCTCTTCGCTGCAGCCATGTGCTCTGGTCGGTGTCTCCCAGGAGCAACATAGCGTGCAAGAATGCTCAGAGGGTATGCAAGGTCAGGTCGTGTGCAGGTCATCAGGTACATGAGGCAGCCAACAAGCTCTGGGTACGGGCCACTCGGCTCTACGGACTCATCCGAAGGCAGAGCTGAGAGCGAGTGGCGAGTAGACAGAGGAGTGGCCTGAGGCGAGGAGTACGTGAAGCCGAAGCGCTGAAGGACCTGCTGCACCATGTGTGACTGAGTCAAGGTAATGGTGCGGCGTGCTCTGTCCCGAGTGATCTGCAAGCCAAGGTAGTTGCGCAGTTCACCCAGGTCTGTGCACGTGTGTCTCTTCAGCAGCTCGGACTTCACGTAGGTGAGTCCAGCAGTGTCCGCTGTGGCAAAGACCAAGTCGTCGACGTACACGAGGATGTAGAACGGCGGCAGAGAAGTGTCGGTGCGCAGAAACAGCGACGGGTCAGCAGTAGAAGGAGCAAACCCAAGAGCCGCAAGCGTAGTCCTCAGTGTGTCGTGCCACTCACGCGGTGCCTGGCGGAGACCGTAGACTGGCCGTCGGAGGCTCCACTGGGTGCCAGGAGGGAAATTCCCAGTGAAGCCAGGTGGACGGCGCAGCCAGATCTCCTCGTGCAGGCTACCCTGTAGGAACGCAGTGCTGAAGTCGAGAGAGTGAAGCTCGTAGTCGCGCTGAGCGGCTATGTGCAGCAGCACCCGAAGAGTGGTCATCTTCGGGGTGGGAGAGAAGGTATGAAAGTAGTCAACTCCCTGCCGCTGACTGAAGCCACGAGCAACGTACCGCGCCTTGAAGACAGGTGGAGAGCCCGGCGGCCGCTTCACCCTGAAGATCCACATGCCACTGACGATGTTCGCCCCAGGAGGGGGAACTGCGTCAACGTAGGTGCCTGTGGACTTCCAGGAAGCCATCTCTGCATCCATAGCTGCCTGCCACTGAGACGAGTAGGGACCCTCTACGGCCTCCGCGTAAGAGCGCGGAGTCGGGATGTCTAGTGCATCCGGGTCTCCCTCAGGAGCAAGTAGTACAGACGCAAGATGAGGTGAAGCAGCAGCCAGACACTGTAACTCCTCCTGCCTGTCCTCTAGGACGTCCGTGCCAAGAGCACACTCACCCCCGACGGACGGAGGACAGACAGACGCAGACTCAGCAACAAGACTAGCAGCGTAGTCTAGACGACAGCGAGCAGCAAAGTCGACGAGCTCAGCTACAAGAGCAGACGCAGCAGTGGACTCAAAAGAGGGGTCAGTGACGACAGTAGCAAGCAGACGCGTGACAGTAGGACTGGCAGCACGAAGAGAGTCCGACTCCGGGTCGGCAAGGGCAGGAAGAGAGGACTCAGGAGGAGAAGGCAAAGGGGCACGTAGAGGAGCAGTGGACGGACGCAGAGACATCCGGTGCGTGCCAGGGACAGGAGGAGGACGCTGACGCGAACGGCGACCACTAGTGCGAGCAGCACGAACTGGCGACGCAGGACGAGACGCAGGCTCACGACGCTCAGCAAGACCTCCAGTAGGACCAGTGTAAGGAGAGGGAGCAGGCAGTGGAGAGGAAGGCTCCAACAGTGACTGTGACTGGACAGGCTGTGAACACTCTACCGGAGGAGAAAGACCAAGAACCTGCTGCAGGTAC